TTTTCATTTGTATGTAAAAAAAAATATTTTTAGTAAAATTAAAAATATTTAATAAAATTATAACTTTTCTTAGTGTTGTCTACTCAGGTACTCTGTATTTAATATAATTTAAATATATTATGATATGAATTAACTAAAATTAAAAAAAAATACATATATAATTTTTTGGCCCGGACTCGAATTGGAGCCCGGCTCCACCACTGTTGTATATTAGCTATACTAATTCATTTAACAAACATAAAATATATCATATATCCTAGGGCTTGATCCCTACACTAACAAAAATAATAAAATATTATCTATAGTAAACTTTACCCATCCTAATTTATAGATTGCACATAACTCTTCATTCTGCGAATTGCATTTCTTGACGTGATAACACGTGTCACGCATGCATATAACTCTCGACGCTATGGAGCGTGTTTCATCACACGATGACACATGTTATGCATGCATGGACTAGCTGGACATGTATCAAAAACTTGCCCTAACTCGCTGGAGAATATGAAGAGTTATGCCAAGTGGACACAACTTGTTCAAATTGCACAGTCTATCACGTTTACTGGGCCAAACTCGTTGCACTGTGCAAAGAGTATTGTGGCATCCAACAGCCTTCCATATATTCAGACCTAACTTGTTATGTGTTGTATTGTAGCGAGTTAAGTGATATGACATTTTGATAAAATTTTACTATAAGGTGACAGCATGGTGAATAGTTACAATTAACAAAAAGTCCGTTGTCCCTTTCATTGATCGTCCATAGGAGATTATCATTGTCTTTTTTTTCTTTTTCCGTTGAAATACGCACTGCTGCATTCTACTGTCTTTTTCCACAAAGATATCCCAAACAAAATCAGTAGATATGCCCGTGCCCAGCAATTTCAATATTCCTCACCTTTTTTTTTTTATCTCCCTTTTTATGGGACTGAGTGTGCTATATATGCCTCATGAGTCATCTTTTCCTTATTTTAAATTTGGTTCTCATATTTGATAGGATAGACAATAATAAATTAAAAGTGTCCCCAAATTAACTTTATTTTGTTTGGAAGCATGAACTCATGCGGTGGCATTGTGTGAATTCATTTCCGAAATTTTATATCGGCGATCAATGACTTCAAAATTTGATGTAATCTATTATTTAAAAAAAAAAAAAAGAATAATATTGAACTTAATCTCTAATAATTTTATGCAAATAATTATTTTTAGGGTTAGTTTTCCACCACTATTTCAGTTTCAGCATATATAATAAAGATATCCTATTATGTTTCTTTCAGGCATTTTTCATTCTGGGCTTGCACCATTTAATAGTAATCTTTTTGCATCATTTGAGAAGTAACGGGAATAAAACATTGCTTAGCGTAATTATCAATGTTATTAAAACTGATCTGGTCATTGACTAAGTTGAGGTACTGGGTTATTGGGTCACTGGCTCAACCAGTGGGTCACTGGTTCAACCAGTGGGTCACTGGTTCAACTGCATGACTCAGTAATTACATGCAATTTTATAATTTATATTAAAAAATTATAAACATACTCAAATATCTAAAAAAAATGACAAAAATTTCAAATATTTTATATAAAAAATAATAAATTACATATTATTATCCAATAAAAGATCAAACAAAAATATAATGATCGTGATACAGGACTTTAAGTTCAGAAAACGACATCTATAAATTAATTCAAAATTTTCTGCATGGTACATAATTGAGATAATATTAATGTGGTAGGTACATAACTTATGCAAGTCAATAAGCACAAAAAAATACGAATATGTCCATTATGATTTTTTTTGAAAAAAATCTGGATTTTTTTTTTTGGACCGGGCTGGGTCGCACCAGTTCTAATGCATGGCCGATTCATTCCTTCAACCGGATCGATTATATGACCGGTTTACCGGTCGACCCGGCCGGGTCGATCCAATTTTTATAACACTGGTAATTATCCGTGCTGCTGCTGCATTCACTCATGACTAATATAATTATCAAGTCCTCTTTTAAAATTCATATAATTCATATTTGTGATAAAAATTTTACATAATCAAGTAAAATTGAAGGGATAAAACATTACATCACATTCATCGTTGGGCTGAAACAATCGTGATCATACATACGTTCATCTTAAAAATAAATGATATATATTTCAGGAGGAATGATTCGTTTACAAATTCTTGCAAATTACATTATATACTCTGAAAGTACATAGTGTAACCTAGTATACTTTTAAGAGTACATAGTGTAATTTATAAGAGCTTGTAAATAAAAAATTTATAAATATAACCCTCTCATATTTCATATTGATCACAATTTTTTCTTGGTAAAAGGAAAATGTTTGTTAATGCATATGCTAGCACACTCAGCCCTCCTTCACCAACCCCCCGAAAATAAAAAATAAAAAATAAAAACCAAAAATATTTATCCCCAAGCTTCACATATCTAGAGAAAGGGAATAAAGTCAAGCAATGGTCCCCTTTAACAAGGAGGGGAAAGCACATGCAGGGGCTTTTGTGAGTGTCTTTTGCGTGCAATGAACAAGACACAAGCAAGATCCACTACAACAAAAATTGTTTTGCCAAGCAAGGCAATTGCTAAAGTCTAGTGACATGTTATTTAATTACATTTTATTCTCTAATAAAATGATCGTGGAGTAAATTTCTTGTACACTTTAGCTCATCCAAGTGATTAAGTGAACCAACAAGCTCTAAAAAAATGGGCAATTTATTCCTATCTTTTAAAAAAATTTCCAATTATGCTTCTCTACTGCAATTAGAAAAAGATAACACATTCCACAAAAAAAGGAAAAAAAAAAGTTTACACATTAGGATATATGGTTTATCATTTCTCGTGTGTTCAGGAAATAATTTATCTTCAACGACTCTAAAATTACATTACTTTTTCAAAAGATAACTTCATCTCTTGTGGTGGGAGACTTATTTTTTCCTAGAATATATTTCTTCAAACATTTTATTTTTCTTACCTTTATCATTAACAATTTTCAAAAACTGTAAATAATATTTAATAATAAAATAATACCGTAAAAGCTCCGTAGAAATTACATAAATTTAAGAAATAATAACTTCTCTTGTAAGAGAAGTTTTCCATTTCCAGCAAAGAGAACAAATAGTGGCTCTCATTTTTTTTTTAAATAAAATAAAAAACTCAAATTTTGATTTTTCGCAACATGAGATAATATTTTCTCTTATAACATGAGAAAATAAAAGTATCATACTTTTCTTACACATCTGTAGAAGAAGTAATACACGGGGAAGGTTGAGATCTAAGCAAAAACTGCTTGATGAGTCCTCAAATCATTGACTTGGCCTTGTTTGATTTTGATTAAGATGAGATGCCAATAAAAACTTTGCGGTCCTTCCGAGAAAGCATGGGAACGAATTTTGCACTTTGATCTTCAAAGCCATTGACATAATACCCAACAAAACCTTTCTTTTTAAACGGTGAAAGCAAAAGATCATTGCCACAACTTTTTTCCCCCCTTACCTTTTGCTTGTCACAGGCAGAAAATTAACTCTATAGATGCCCGTTGCTAATTGACCCATTCACCAGAAAATATTTGCCTTCTGTTATTTTTCCTTTTTAGGTTTCGATAAAAAAAAATAAAAAAAAATTGAAGCAAAGTTTCGATAGTTAAATACATGCAAGTTCAATATTCAATATTCCCCTCAGATATCGCAACCTCACAATAAGGAGATCCGACAAATTACTCTCTGATATTGATCTGAAGATGATGTTTATGTTTAACCTTAGCGAATATCTTTTCTAAATGTCAAAGTTGATTTGAATTTATTCTTTATAGGCAATAATAGTTCTTAATTAGTTCATAATATTGGAAATTTATAAAATCAACATTAGCCATCCTTATCCAATTATTATTTCTTCGTTAATATTTTTTTCCCTTGATTTTGCTCGCTGAACCGCCAAGATACACAAATACAACGGGGAAGACAAGGGTCCGCCTTGGCTTTTGCAGAACACAAAAAGACACACGGAAAGAAAAATATGTGGATATTTAAGAACAATTGAACAAGCATTAAAAAAAGAAGGAAACCCAAAAGGATGCTATTACAGCTGGATAGGTCATTATATGATTACTTTATACTGCAATTGCATTACATGAACACGCCCCAACGAGGTCAAGACCGCCCTAATAAATAATCCGTCATCGCTCTCTGCATTTCATTAAATTGGTGCTGGTGGCCGACAGCATGTTTCTCCCCTCACATGAAAAACAAAAATCCCATGAATCTTCTTCTATAACTCCCTCTATTTTGCTTATTCGATTTCAACGTAAACCAGCTAGCTCTCTCTCTCTCTCTCTCTCTATATATATATATATATATATATATATAGAGGTAAGATCATTTGACACCGGTGTCAAATTTTAAATTTGACACTGATTCTTATAGCTGTTAGATCAAAAAAGATCAATGGAGTCACATGCTTACAAATCAGAGTCGTTGATCTTTTTTTATCTAACAGCTATAAAAACCGGTGTCAAAAGATCCTAACTCATATATATATATATAGCTTGCAATTTCTTACCTGAGAAATTCAAGTTTTCCTACCGAGAGAAAGAGGTAGAGCCCACCTTAAAGAAAAAAATAAAAAATAAAAAAATAATTGACACGGACATCGAAGTGAGAGTGGTAGAAGAGGAGACTTCTCTTGCAACATGTCTTTTTCCCATATATATATATATATATAGCTATTTATTTCGAAAACAAACTGCTTGATATTTTGATATTGACAAACTCATTACTTTAAAATAATTTAAATTTTGATTCATATCTACGATAAATACTCAGTATTATATCATGTCAAGTAGATTTTCATGTTGATAATAACATAAAAAAACATTTAAAAGCAGGGGGGCGGGGAACTAATTAAGAACGTAAATTTTTTGGATATGTATGACTGATATTAAATAATAAATACACTTTAGTCCATTGATATGCTCATTACTTATATATATATTTCCTCCTGATAAAATGCCAACAATCTCTGCAGCCAACCCTATGCACCCATCTCTGATTTAGTGGAAGATCTATCATTACCAATGACTGGTAATTGGAAGTAGGCAACTAGCTTTACGCAGAGATGGTTGGCAATTTAACTTGCTCGTCAGAAAGAGAAAAAGATAAGTGATTATTAAAGCATAGAAAGGCTATATATGTTTTCCACAAGAGATGAGAGGTAAATAAGAGAGGAAATTTGTTGAAATTAAAGGCAAGACTAGCTAGCGAGGAATGCTGAGAAAATCTGGTTTGGAACAGTTTAGTAGAAGCTGGTCTTGAGTCCTAGTCTTCTTGGACAACGGTTCCGGTGAGGATGACACAGAAGTAGCAACCCCCCATGAGTCATTGGAGCTATCACAGCTAAAAGACACATCCATGACGCCATTTGGGCTTCCAGGGATGGACCCAAACTTGCGTTTCATGCATTGCTTCCCCTGGTCGCACCCTGACCCCAGTTCCAACATAAGCTTGCAACACTCTTCCACCTTCTCCTGTATCAATTCCAGATTTAACTATATGACCAGTAATACACTTCTCTGTCTAATTAGAGACAAACCCACTCTCACAATATCTTTAAACACAATAAGAACGCAAGAGCTGGAAAGAACACCAACCTTGTTGATTCCAACAATACCAAGAAGCTGGCTTTGGTATGCAACTCCGAGACGAGGCTCCACGCAATTGACAACGTGCATCATTGTAGCATTTGCCAACACAGAAGGTAAATAACACATAAACCTGGAATCTGCAATGTTAAAAAAAAAAAATATCAAATAATAAATAAATAAAATAAGATGAGAAGCAGAACTTGAAATATTCCTCCAGGTGAATGACGGTGACTGGAAAATTACCTGCAATGACAGAGAGAAGAACACCATTACACCTCCTGAGGAACTCCAAGCAGAGATGATATTTCGATCCAAGTCTTCTTGTAATAAAATCAAGAAACGAGACAGGGGTTGCTGGATTCATCTTCCATCCAAGAGTTGAAAGGACCAAAATCTCCATCTTTTTAATCGTTTTGGCTTCAAACAAGTATCTACTATCCTCCACCTGAACAGATTAGAGAAAATCATGATTGATCAATGAAGAAAAACAAGGACAAGCCAAAATAATGTGTTTCTTTTTCTTGCAATTACAGAACAGAGTCACAAGTTAACATACTTGTAGGTCTAGTAAAAGGGGAACTTGGGTCTCCTCCACCTTTGCAGCGAGAGAGAGGCAAGCGACAGCAGTAAGTTGAGTCATCCATGGCTTCCCATTCTGAAACCTGAAGCTGAAGAGGAACCTGTCGAGGTAATCAACAGCAAGAACAGCGGTGAGAGCAGAGAAGGAGTAGTGGGCATTCACTTTCAGCATCCACTCCACGGCTTCTCTGCGAGCAACCTCCAAAACAGGATTGATTTGGAGGAAGGTGCAAAGTGGATTTTGTTGTTCTTTGGCAAGCAATGATGTTAGCTCTTCATCGTCCCAGAACATGTCCTTTTCTAGAAACAAAGGAGGAGAGTTTATTATTGTGCTAGTACTAGTATTGGTGCTAAGGGAATCACAACAGTACTCATCCTCTAATTCATCTTCGACTACTTCTACTTGTTCCTCCCAATGTTCTTCTGAACAGTACAGTGCATCGAGAAGGAACTTTGGGTTGTCATGTGGCTCAGGTTGTTGATAATGGTGGTGAGCCATCTTGAATAGATCTTTTGGTTCATTTTAGGTTGGAGAAAAGCATGGCTATGAAATGCCTCAATGGAAGATGCATTCCAATTCACCCTGCCTCGAATTGGGAAAAAGACTCCGAAGGGACAGCTTGGTAATGGTGTGTCTCAATTGAGAGGAAAGAAGAGAAGAAAAAGGGAGAAAGGGAGAGAGGGACCTCTGATCAGTGACCATAAACCAAACAATGTTATTTATTGAGTTTCCCAAACCAGCCAATATTATTTTCTTGGGAGCGTCTCGAGCTCCAATACCTGGATAAATACTGGACCATGCACCACAATTACTCGACACGTGACGTTTGTACCCTATAATTTAATGGATTCCCCCCTCTCCATTCGGGGTCTTTGAATCGTCAAGATTAAAGGACCATATAATCTATTAAAAAGAAAAAAGAAATAAAAAGACCATATTAACTATCACTTAATTTATAGAATGTTTAGACCCTCGTAGAGGTACAACTACAACTGTACAATTGGGTCAGACGCTGCAGTAGCTTATGCTAACATGATTAAATGTTGAATTATTTGAGAAATTAAAAAAATAATAGAGGACGGAGCGAAGTATCCCTAAAAAAAGCCATCGGTCAATTTTATTTTTACCTCTGTCTTTGAGTAAAGAATTAGTCTTATTCTTTCTTATAAAACTCAATTTATAAAACTCAATCTCAATGAAAGGGTAACTTTAAAGAGGGTACTCAGAGAATAAGATGATCGAAAGAAATTGAATAGAAAAAAAAAATCAAATATCACTTTACTAACCCAATTATTATTTTGATAATGAATCAATTTAAATATAAATTTTAAAAGAAAACAAGTAGGAAAAAATAAAATAAAACAATTTGTTTGGAAAATAGTGAAAATCACACTAACATGTGCATATTAAAGATACTAGAGATTTAATTTTACTTTTTTTAAAGAATTTCCACCTAACTAAGATATAAAGAAACTTATTAGATTAATAAACAACCGATTTCTTAGTGTGTTGTCTATTTAGGGTGTGTTTGATATAAGAGAAATTTGATGGTATTCGAAAATCACGATTAATGGGAATACAATAAAAATTGAGTTTACTTGAAATCTTACGAAAAAAATGTTTGGTTCGCCAAAATATTACCAAGAATATTGAATAAAGATTACTGATTCCATGTTTGGTTTAGAACAAAATATGACTTAGAATATGAGGTTATTTTACAAGTAAGTAATATTTATGTTTGGTTTACCAGTAATCCTATTCTTAGGTTATTAATTACTGTAGTATTTATCGCACATCCGACTCATGCATTTTTTTTTCATTTTTTACAAGCTCACACAACATTAATTTAAGAGTACCTAATGCATAAAAGCAATAAATACTCAACTATAGTCTATATATAAACTTAGATCAAATGAAAACAATTGTAATTTCAGTATTTTTTATGTCTAAAATACTCGATATAATGAAAACTCAAAAGCAATAAGTAGACATCAATATTATTAAAAACACTAAAATTCAAATTAGATCAATTATAATTTGTGTGTTTACCACTAAGCCTACTTAATCAAAACTTAACTTAGTCTAACGTTACAGATAGGCCAACTTAAAATATGATAAAAATACGGCAAGCAGTAAATTACTTTAACATGCCATGTTCACAGTTCACATCCTTGATTCCTTATTACTAATTAGGCGTTGAGATTAGCATTTTATTTACAAGAAGTAGAAATGTAGAATAGAAGAAATTGGCGCGCGCGGGAGTTAAAACCGTACACAGTGCCCGACACATGAAAACAACATCTCTGAATCTCTCTCTTTCTATCTCTGATATCTGATGGTAGACAGAATGGCAAAGGCTCGATCGAGCTTTCACAAACGCCCTGCCACAGACCGATTATTTTTCAATAAAAAAATCTTGCATTTGTTTTGGGAACATTAAAACGTTGTTGCAAAATGAGCTGTCTCTTCTGGATGCACAATATTTTATTTGTTTTTGTTGTGTGTTTTCCGGAACAAGAGTCCTATGGTTCGTGACTGAAGCGACTGTTAGGAATGCAGTAGCGATCGATGCTCTGATTGCTTTTTCGGGGCGTTTGGTAAAAAAAAAAAAAAATTTATCTAGAAATTTTAATTTTTAAAAATATAATTTTTACATTTAATAACATCTAAAAATTAAAAATTTAAAAAAATTTAATTTTCCGAAAATTTTTAAAAATCCTGCGTACCAAACAAACCCACAATTCCAAAACAAATTAACCAGCAGGGAAAAATTACTAATAATAAAAGGTATAATTTAACTTTTGGTCATTCTATTGGGATCGAAGTAGGATTTTTATTTTGTAAATTTTTTTTTTGTAATAACTATAAGGGTTTTCATTTTTTTCTTTAACATGACACAAAAAAATTTCCTACACACACAACATTTTGTGAGACTCGCACTTTTTAAAGAAAAAAAAATTAAGACACGCAAAATAAATCTCTATAACATTACACAATTAATTTTCCTATAACATAACTCTTATAAATTTCTGACTATAAATTTGTTATTCATAAGCAAAATATAATAATTTTTTAATATAGTACTCCCTAAGTTTATAAGTGTAATTAAATCTAATAAAAAAGTAATGTTAAAACTTAAAACAAAGTCAAGTCAATTACGAACTTCGAAATTTCCAGATCGGTTTCTTTCTTTAATCGAACTGAAAAACCGTACCCATCTTCGTTTTCTCTTTCTTTTACATTATTATAAGCGAGCTAAGCCAACTCCAGTTAAGAAACCATTAAAAAACGAATGTATGTTAGATCACAAGACAACAAGACAACAATGAAAAAATGAATGTATTTGTATAAGATCACGAGTATAAGATAATATATTCAGTACATTAGTATGAAAAAATGAATGTATTTGTTATAAATCATGCTAGTTCCTCTTAACCACCGATCATGTTATCTCGATTTAAAAATCTCAAATCCGTGTATTAAACTTTATGTAGAGATCTAATGCATGTTAGATCACAAGACAACAATGAAGATTATGTGATTCTATATCTTTTGGAAATATCAATCTGATTAGTTACCATTTAATAAATTCAAGTTCAATGGAAAGTTAGTTTATGATTTAGTAGTCTAAAGATAACTCATATATGCGTCCCTCTATGTTACCCTGGAGTAAATATTTTACATCAAACATACTTTGAACTTAGGGTGTACTATATTAATGCTACGAGTAGTCATAGCATGTTAGCCAGGTAAAACATTCAATAAATAAAAATTGATAATTAATGCTACGTAGGATGAGATTTTATACTAAGAGATATACTCTTTTCTTCAATTTTTATTTATACCAACAAAGTTAAAGTTCTTTATCTGTGTTCAATTGTTTCATTTTAATTATTTTATTTCTAAAAAAATTGCGAGTAAGATGCATACAAGCGAACTTTTCATAAAGAATAATGCATGCGAGCCTATTGAATCTGCATAGTCGATCTAATGGGAAAGAGTACAAAGAAGATTTTAGAAAGAGACGTAAATACAAACCCTTTGATGAGATTTCATTTCGCGAGTATCATTCCCTGTGGTTCAGAGACCGAAAACTGTAACGCAATATGACAATTATGGAAGTATCCACTTTCCAACATAATTTACTACTAATATATAACACAACACAAGCCAACTCAGTTCTTCTTTTTATCGTACGATAAAGAGACGTCTCTGCAATTGCTCCATAATAATAAATGGTTGTAAGAGAGAAGCGGACCGTAGAAGCAGAGGCTACGAGGCATGCGGGTAAAAAATGTTAATAGTGACCAGTGACTGTATATATGGAAGATATATTTCTCATTGTTAGATAATAAATGAATAGTTGTTATGTTAAAAAAAAATAAGACCAAATCATGGAATAATATATCCTCTTATTTTATGTAATATTATATAACTTGTCTTTTTTCTAACATAACAATTATTAATTCATAAACATGAAAAATATATTTTCATATATATATATAGGGTTCGCTTTTTCTACAATCAATGTAGATAACTTATTTACATTGAGCTCAAAATGATGTCGTTTTGAAGCGAAAATCAAAGTATTTTTATAATTATAATTTATTTCAGGTTATAATAATCTTTTTTATTATAATTTTTTTATTTTTCAACTCAAAATGATGTCATTTTAAGAACGAATGTAAATAACTTAATTACATTTATTTTAGAAACATTAAATCCATATATATTGGAAAATTAGTACTGGTTATAGTTTGTTAACTAACTGAGACGTGCGCGTGTAGGATTAATTTTTCTGCTATGATAAGTTGCTTTCTTTCTTTTCTTTTCTTTTCTTTTCTTTTTTTCTTTGCATCTTTGTTTTCAATTCTTCTACCTCTTTTATAGGCTCGATCTTCAAGGAATGAAGTTGGGTGGAGTGGGGGGTGGGGCGATAAAGAGAAAGAGAAATGCACAAAAAAGGGCTAGCTAGATATCCATAGTGCAAGCAGGTGAGAGTGAGACAGAATCACTGAAGGCAAGTGATGGTGGTAAAAGGTAATGGTAGATATCGTGGTGGTTGTGGATTGTGCAAGCTAGTTGTGGTTTCCAGCCCAACAAGTTACTTTCCTCACTAGTCTTAACTATTATACACCAAACTGTAGTACCAAATTGTCACTGTTTAAATATAGTTTGGTAATTTACTTACCAAAAGTAATCTCCAATTTTGCAGTTAATACTACTATAATAAGTATGTATTTTTTTCCTATGACAAGATCATTGTGAGTTTTCTTTTCTAACTTTCTCCGAAAAGTGGTGTCTGATTTCTAAGACAAACAGCAACTCCCACTTCATACTGGTCAAAGTCAGACAAGCCCACTCTCTGAAGGATGATTTATCGTTTATTTCATTTCAATCGCAGAAAAAATAAATAAATAAAGCGAAACTCTTTATTGGGACTCATAAACCCTTTCCCTAGACCGTACCATGGAGTAGACCTAGATGGTTTCGTATCCAACTCAGGATCATACCGTGGAAATGCAACATCTTGTCTTGCATGATCTCTTTTTGGATTACGCTATAGTTTAAAAAATATAAATATATTTTTAAACGTCCTTAAATTTATCTGTTTTAAAAATGTTTTAAGGTAATTAATAAAGGAAAAAGTGTGTAAAGGAGGTAAATTTATGTTATTTTAAGAGAGAGAAAGAGA